CACTGGAGGATCTGCCTGAACATCTGTCCTCTCCTGCCAATCTCAGCAACCAGTCGCCATCAACGGCATGCCCTTCCCCCACTCCCTCTGCACCTCCTACCTCAGAGGCCATGCCTCGCTCTCCCTCTACTCCCTCCGAGCCCCCTCCCTCAGAGGCCACACTTCCTCTTGCCTCTTCGGTGGCGGCCCACACCTGCCCCCACCAACCAACTATCCTGGCCCCACTCCGAGAAGTAGCAGGCGCAGAAGGTTTAATCAGGGTCCATGTTCCTTTCTCACTCCAAGACCTGTCCCAAATTGAGAAACGTTTAGGATCCTTCTCAGCCAACCTGTCCACCTATATTAAAGAGTTCCAATACCTCACTCAAGCATAAGAAGCCCTAGTCCGGTATACTCGACTAGACCCAGCTTCCCAAAACAGGGCCACTTTATTAGCGTCCCATTTTATCTCCCAATCAGCACCCAACATAAGAAAGAAACTAAAGAAAGCAGAAGAGGGGCCAGAGACTCCCATCCAAGACCTGGTAAAAATGGCCTTTAAAGTATTCAATGCCAGGGAAGATGCGGCTGAGGCTGCCTGCCAAACTCGCATGAAGCAGAAGGCTGCCCTCCAGACCCAAGCCCTAGTGGCGGCTCTAAGGCCGGCAGGGAACCAGAAGCCCAAGGCCGAAACCCATGCCCCTCCAGGGGCATGTTTCAAATGTGGAAAGGAAGGACACTGGTCCCGAGCCTGTCCACAACCACGGCCACCAACTAAGCCTTGCCCTATCTGCCACCTCCCAGGACAGTGGAAGTCAGACTGCCCCAGCTTCCCCCGGGTGCCGGTTTCTCAAAACAGACACACTGGCGTTACGCAGCCGGCAGTCACCCTCAGTAGGGAGGAGCCTGCTTGCCAGGAGCCGACCTCCGAGGGAGCTCCGTTCCCCAGTCTACTAGGGCTGCTAGACGAGTAGCGGGGCCCTGGCTTTCCAACTCCAGTTACCCTCACCGAGCCTAGGGTCACAAGACATGGGGGCTACCTACTCCGCACTTCCTTCTTATTCTGGCCATCTCACCCCTTCCCAGGTCTTAGTCATGGGAATCGATGGGACCCCGAGTATCCCCTACCAAACCCCACCACTCATGTGCTCATATAACTCCATTCCATTCACCCACTCCTTTTTAGTAATCCCCACCTGCCCAGTTCCCCTTCTGGGGCGAGACATCCTTTCAAAGCTGAAGGCTGTCATAACCTTCCCCACCGCCAGCCCACACAGCCTCTTTCTCCTAGCCCTCAATACTCTGCCTCGGAAATCCAGGCCCTCCAGTCTATCCCCGGGGTACGGTTCAAGGATGACTGGGCCTTCAAGCATAACCTCCTCATCTTCCCTGAAAAGCAAAGGTACCAGATAATCCAAGACATCCATAATTCACTCCACATTGGGCCTAAAGCCTTATACCAATTCCTCAACCCACTTTTTCACCCTCACCATCTCCTCAGTACCATACAGGAAGTCCAGTCCTCATGTACTGTCTGTGCAAAAACTAATTCCCAGGGTTCCTGTCATCCCCGGTGCCAGCTTCATCAGCTACGCGGGTTCCTACCTGGCCAAGACTGGCAAATTGATTTCACCCATATGCCAAAGCACAAACAGTACCGGTATCTGCTAACCATTGTTGACACTTTTTCAGGCTGGATTGAAGCTTACCCCACAGCCTCTGAGTCTGCCGGGACAGTAGCCACTCATCTCATTCAAGACATCATCGCACGCTTTGGACTCCCGGCTACCATACGGTCAGACAACGGCCCAGCCTTTATCTCCAAAGTCACTAATGCCATTTCTACCTCTCTAGGAATTCAGTAGAAGCTACATGCCGCCTACCATCCCCAGTCCTCTGGTAAGGTAGAACGGGCCAATGGCCTAATAAAGGAGCATCTGACCAAGCTCATGCTTGAGCTCCGCCAATCCTGGGTAACCTTACTTCCTATCGCCCTCACCAGGGTAAGAGCAAGCCCCCGGGGCCCGTCACAGCTTAGCCCATTTGAGCTGCTGTATGGTCGCCCCTTCCTTCTTTCAACTCCCCACCCGCCAGAGACCACTCCTCTAGACAGCTACCTCCCCTACTTTACTCTCCTTCGCAGCCTTCTCCGAGAACACGCCAATGCTTCTCTTCCCCAACCCACCCAGCCATCTGAAAAATACACAGTCTCCCCCGGAGACTCAGTCCTTATCATGTCCCTCTCCCCAAAGCCCCTCGCCCCCAAGTGGGAAGGACCATACACAGTCCTCCTTACCACTCCATCAGCTATAAGAATTGCTGAAATCCCATCTTGGGTTCACCTCTCTCGGGTAAAAAAGGCCCCTCATGGACCCTCCTTATGCTGGAAGGCTGTTCCTACTGGCCCTTTATCTGTCAAACTTACCAGGGCCTAGCAGCCCCACCCCCTACAGATGGAGATTCTTCCTAACTGAAAACTATACCAAAACCACCTTCATCTGTAATACCCCCCCCATACAGCCACAACCACCTTCTTGCAACTTCCAACTGCCCCGCAGCCGGATGCCAAAGTGCCATATAGCTGAACTTCACCAAATTCCGCAACGTCCATACTGATGTACCTCTCATGTGCTTCAACCATGACCAACCATCAGGAGCATGCAATAATACTCCTTGGCGCTCCTGCATGGGATGTACTTGGATGAGCTATCGACTACATATAGCTATCGAGTCCACAGTACCTGCCTGATCTCAGCTCAAAATCATCCCAGATGTAGATGGAGAAGGAAACACCATTATCGGTTCTACACGGTATTCCCTTCTCATACCTGACCCCTGGGACAACCGGTGGAAAAGCCCCCAGAAGGCTGCTGTGTATGACCACGTAGATACCAAATATCCCTCTTCCCACCTGTACATCTGGCGAGCATACGTACGTACAGTCCATCAAGTCCACTCTGACATTAGCCTACAAGAAAAACCTCTAAATGACCAATTGCAACCACATTCGCCTCCGTTTTCCTGGTTAACCTTTCTCCAAGAAGGAATCAAGTTAGCTAACCTCTCAGGATTAACTGACCTAACCTAATGCCTCATGTGTGCCTTCTTAGGACAGACTCCCTTCGTTGCAGTCCCCTACCCCATCCCTCTCAACCTTTCAGCCTCAACTTTTTCCTTCTCCCCCGTCAGGGAAGTTGATCTCTACACTCCACCTGATTTTGAACAGCTACCTGTGTGCTATTCCCTAGGCCAAAACTTCCCTAGCTGTAACAGAACTATACGGGTAACCACTAATATAACAGCCCCACAAGGAACTTTTTCGGGTGTAACAAGACCTTAACAAAAACTCTCTACATTGGCCTTTCCTCATCTCTTTTATGCCTCCCGGTAACCCTAGTCCCTTGACTCACTATATATTCCCCAGCCGAATTCCAGATGCTGCAAACTCCCCATTGCCGCACCCGACGAGCTGCCTTCCTACCCATTGCTGTTGGAGTCTCCCTTGCTGGTTCAGCACTTGCAGCAGGTTTAGGAGGAGGGGCACTAGTCCACTCTCACCTGGCCATAGCCCGACTGACCTCACAACTCCAAGCAGCTATTGATGACTCTACTGAGTCTTTAGCATCACTCCAATGACAGATCACCTCAGTTGCTCAAGTTGCCTTGCAGAACTGAAGAGCCCTGGACCTGCTCACTGCTGAACGAGGAGGGACCTGTATCTTCCTACAAGAAGAGTGCTGTTACTACATCAATGAATCCAGCCTAGTAGAAACCCGAATCGAGAGCCTCCAGAAACTCAAAACTAACCTGCAGAGTCAGAAGTTCTCGGCTGAAGCCACGGCATGGTGGTCTTCCTCTATGTATACCCTCTTGTCCCCATTGCTTGGGCCCCTAGTAGCTGTTTGCCTAATCTTACTTATTGCTCCTTGCTTTCTACAGTTCCTACAGCGGCGCTTTCAAGAACTGACTCGAGTCACCATCCACCAGATGCTGCTCCAACCCTACCCTGAATGAGTGCAAGAAACGGACCTCTCCCTGAACATCCAGGCTCCTTAAGAAAAGAGACCTCTTCAGAACCCCCCGTCGACCCTTGTCAGCAGGAAGTAGCTAGAGAGACAACCAACACCCCGACCCCCTCTTTTTCTTTTCTTTAAGGAGTCGGGAATGTTTGGAAAACTCTGCCCCTACCGCAAAAGCTCTCTCTCTCTCTCTTTCCCTCCCCCACAGAGGCTCCCTTATCTCTCACTTTACATACCGGCCCTAGCCCTCCCGCCGCCCAGCTTCCCGCCCAGCAGTTCAAACTGACCAACAGTTGCCCACCACCTCGGCTTTTGGCTTCCCCACCCCCCAGCCCTTCAGCCCCCTATAAAACAACCCTGCCCCTCTGAGCGGCGTGGCCATTTTTCCTTTTCGTCCCGGCTGGCCCGCCCGGAGGCTCTTTCCTCTCAATAAAGCCTGAACTTAAGGAATTTCCTCTAGCCTGCAGTCTGGTTTCTTTCCCAATGAGCCCAGTCTTCCCACAGAGGGTAGGTCGGACACCAACTACAATGTAAACTCTCTAAAGGCAGGACTTTTGTCTCTCTTTGTCTGCAACATCTAGAAGAAGGTCTGACAGCTGGCTTCATTCAATAAATATTTCTTGAATAAAAGTTATTGCTGACAAACAAATGGAGAGTGTTAGTTAGATGGCTTATGTGCAGAGTGTCTGCAGACTGCTGTAGAGTGAATTGGTAGTTATCTTCTGGTCCAAAGGGGCTGAGATAAAAAATGTATTTTGGAGGCTTAGCAACTGTGGTGTGTCAAAGGAAACCATGGACAAATCAGATCTTGGCATAAATAGCTGTAATAATCTAGGTGAGTTTGAGGACCATATGTTTGTATGATATAAAATACAACAGATGGAATGATAAGTAAAGACATCTGTCATTGTGTGCTTCAGTCTGTGCTAGTCAAACTGGGAAAGATGATGAAAGATATCATCATACCTCTAATAGAAAAAAGAGAAATAAGGAGCACACACGTAAGAATATGCTTGAAATTTATTGCTTTTTGAGAAGTGATTTTGATTACTCAGAACAAAACTGAAAACAGCTTAACAATTAAATTTCAATTATATCATCAAATGATAACTTAAAAGGCAAGTATCCTGAAACAAAGAGTATACTGTAAATTATAGTCTTTCTTCATTTGCATTGTTCTTTGACAATTTTTCAAAAAGTGGTGATAGTGTGGCTTGGTATGAAGGATGTGAATATGCATGTAGAAGTTGTATTTGCCAGTCAAACCTGCACAGAAAAATAAAAGATTATCTGTAAAATTCTTACCCTTGTAAATATATTTGTTTTGGCCTGGTACAGAGTGGATATTTATATACGATGTTAATTTATAAAATACAGGGCCCAAGATCATATTTGACACGGATTAGACAATTCAATACTAATTAAATTGGTATTTGAATGAATAAAAATTATCATTCATCATCTATAATTTAAATTTTAATTTAAATAATTTTTCTATCATTATACTCTTTTATTCTTCTACTTAAATACAGTGCACACATTTCATTTATATATATTTCCCCTAAATAATATTTCAATACATCTTTCCTTGATTAAATATCATCAGCTATTACCTAATGCCTAGGGGATCAAGTTCAGGCTCTTCCCCATATCATTAATGGCAATAGAGAACTGAATTGGAATATAATCTCCCAAATGCACTGAAAAATAATTGAAATACTTTGGACTATTTCAACTTTGAATTGTAGAACAGTCCTCTTATCTACAACAGTTTACTCTATTTTGTAGTAAAATATTTAGTCTGTCATAGAATTTAGAACATTTAATGTTGTGTAGAGATATATAAAACTGACCTTCTAAAAATAAATTGATAATATTTGCTTTATATTGACAAGCATTATGTTAATAATTTCCAGAGTAATTGCTCGGTAGAGTTACTTAGGGTGTAAAATGCAAATTTCTCACAAGTTCCCAGATGGTGCCTATGTAGCTTCTCCAAAGATTGTATTGTGTAAGTGAAAACTTTACATAACACCTAAGTACAGATTTAGTGGCAGGGAAGCCCTGCAGTTATAACTATACACCTTTCTGATCGAGAGATTTTATGTGATATGTTTTTCTAAAGTGTCACCAATTCTATAAAGTGTATTTAAATGTTAACATAATACACAATTTGTTGATGAGAAAACTGAGGTTTGGGAGCATTAGGGGTAGGTAGTTCAAGGTCATGAAACTAGCAGTTGTCAAGGCCAAGACAGAAACCCCAGGGTTTCCCACCCTATAACCCAGCCTTGTAACCATAGCAGGAAAGAGACTTTATCTCAGAACCATTTAGATAAGTTAATACACTTCAAGGAGCTACAGCGGGATGCTTTCTTATACTGGAGCTGCTGTTGTTTTAGTGGCTTGTTATTGTTTTACTTCTATTAACTGTCAGCACTGATACTTACAGAAGGTCAAAAACGTCACTAAACCCATCTTACCTCAATAATCATGTCCTGCAGTTACTAATGATATTAAAAGGAATATGGCTGGTATGGGTTTGGTTGTGGTTGGTATTGTGGTTGGTATGGTTGTGGAAATGGCTGTCGATATGGCTGTGGATAAGGGCGATACCACTGTATACACAAACAAGGAGAGGGAGAAAATTGCAGAAAATTGAGATGATGACAGTACGTTTAACAATAATTGTTATTAGACAACTAGATTGTTAAAATTTTAGAAACTTATATATTACTTATATAATTTTTTCCAAACTTTTAATTAGTTTTTTTCTTTTTGGTTATAAATGAATTTTAAAGGCAGTTGAAAATGATTGAGTATTTACCTTTCTACTGTGTGTTTACAGTTTTGTGGTTTTATTTTACATGCAGGAACAGTGATTATAGGCTACTGCTCCAAAAAGGTTTTTAATTTTCTTCAAAATACTACCTCCCAGCAACTATTTTGCCCACCAGTGAATATTGTGGGAAGGAGACATTTGCTAAATTCAGCTAATGTGGTGTTTCTTCAAGTTACTGTTAATGAGCTGTCTCTTACGATTACTACATTCTTTAATACCTCTTCCTTCTGTTAACACAAATAACCATCATCCTTTTTTAAACATCTTTTTATTTGGTGTTACTTTAACCCACATATTCACTATATTAGTAAGGAGATATTTTGCAGCCCTATCTCATTAACATTATATGCCAAAATATTGTGACGTCGAGATAGATACATTAAGAAAAATGTTAAATAAATGAAATTTGCCGTCTTATTTAAAATGGCCTGTTTAATTGAATGAGTTTATCACCCTCAAAAAAATCAAAAGGTGCAAATTTCCCATATCTACACATAACATATGGGAAATTTGCACCTTATCATTATCCTGTGTAGTTATCAGCCTTTTTGCCCCATGAGGAATATAGTACAATTAATAGAATTAGAATTTTAGCTATTTTTTTAGGTCAATATGATTATTTAGAAGATGATACTTGAGGCTCAAAGAGAAATTCGTTTAATCAGGTTGGCATTATGAGTTTCACTTTAAATGTTTCAGGTCACAATACATTTGTGACTGTTACCTGTGTATCATAAATAAAACAAATGTCACTTTTGTAACTACTACACATATTTGAGAAATAAGTATTGATTCTTCTAGAAGAATAAGTAATCAGATAATAAAATTTATTTGTACTATACCCATTATCAGAGAATACTTACATTGTATTTTTCCCATCTACGATATTTCTGTGAAAAATGAAGAAAAGCTTAATAATTCAATACAAATGTAGGAAGGACAAAACTTCAGTTTTCCAGTGAATGAAAATGACTCACCTCTTCAGATGAATCAGCTCCCTTAGAAAACAGAAAATGACAAAATAGTTAATATCTCAGTGTTAATCAAGATGTAATTCCAGATTGGTACAAAAATGAACTCAGCAGCCACAATTGTGAATAAAGTAAACAGAATGTAGGCAAATCATCCATAGACACTAAATTAGTTATTTTTGCTTTATGACATCTTTAAAATGAGTTAACAGTATGCTTTTCTATAATTAGTGTGCTATATTCAAATATAAATTTATTTTGATTTATACCTCTTTTGTGTGTGAAAGGGAGTAAATGGTTATCACTGGTGAATGAAAAATGAAACTTTGTAGTTTTTCATAAGAATATGTTCTCAGTAGCTCAAAAGTGACTCACATATAATGTTTATTTAGTGACAGAGACAAGCATTATATTTTTCTGTTTTCCTTATATTTTTATTTTTTAGAGACCTATCCTTTTATAACAAAGAATGCAGTAAACTGTGATTTTATAATCAAATTAGTTTTTGAAATGTCTGTTAAGTTGAAGTATTTTTATTCTTTTGTAGTTAATTACCTAGTAATGTCATAGCAAGGAAAGAAACAGGAGAAAGAAAAGGAAGTAGAGTAGAAGAAAGAGCTCTAGAGAAGTCAAGGGCTTTACTTAATGATACACAGTAGTAAATGATAATACAGTCTGGGAACTCATGTAAAAGATCTGAAGTTTTGTTTTATAGTCAAAAATAAGCAGCTTTATTTTAGAAAGGATTTGCTAAATAAGTGTGTGCTAGTTTTAAGTTAGTTTTTGCAAGGAATGACTTGAAAATTTCTATTTTGACATTTTCTAAGACTTGGATTCCACTCCAGTGCATCTAGTTAATTAATGAGATTTCTAGATTCGTGTGTTCAAGAGCAGTACATGTTTAAAGATATTTTTACAGCTTTCAGTTCCACATATTTAAGAAGCTCATTAAAACTTTATTTTACTCCATATTAAACTAAACACACTTTAGTGTATGAAGGTGAACATGAATATTTATTCTAAATCCTTAAAGAATTTATGTAGGTTAATGCAGAGAAAATGTTCATATGGAAACATTAAAACATGTAAAGCTGTATTCAAGTAAACACCAGTATATGCCAGAATACAAAGAATAGAATGACTCTTGGGATAGGTACTGAGAACATATTCTTCCAATGTCCTGAAATACTTACAATCATGGAAACCATGAAAGCCAAGAGGAAGGCAAAGACAAGGAACTTCATAGTTGGCTGGGTCCTCTGAAAACATATGTGGAAATTCAGTATCACATTTTTTTCTCGTATTCATCCATCAAAATTTTCTTGATTATGCTGTGCTCTAAAGCATTGGGAGACAAACTCCAGATAGAAAGACAATTAAAACCCACTGCCTGACAGCATGAAACTTGGAGATTTATTGGCAACATTGATAAGTAAAAGTGAGTGCTCTGATATGGAAAGGCTAAGGCATTACGGAAACACACAAATCAACACTTTAAACAGACCAAAGGAATAGGGGTATAAAGGTGAAGAAGAAAGTAATGCTTGAGTTGGATTACATGGGATGATTAAAGTGGTGTTGGGAGATTGCAAAAAATGCAAAAGAGAGGATACCACATTGAAAGTGCAAACAGTTCAAAATGTAGGGCGGACAAAACTGGAAACAGCATGATTACTTAGGTTTTGTGACATTATAGGGGAGCCTTACGTAATGACATTAGGGATGAAATTTAAGGTACAGTGTAAAGAGATGTTTAGACATTAGAATGACAAGCAATTGGCACTGGCTTTATAATAAAGTCACTGAAAATGAACCAGGTTTCTGTTTTGACAGTTGCAAAAATGGTGTAACCTTCAGATTAGAACTGTAATGATACTGGGTAGAGAACAATCAAACTGCTAAGAAGTCACAGGGAAAATATTCATACCTTCTTTGAGAAGTAAAATTAATGAAAATGACTTAATAGTTTAAATAAACTCATTCAGCAAAATTGACCTCATATGAGACTGTGATATGTTATCATAAACATGTATAAGCTAGTTAACCCAGTTCTTTCACTATTAAACAGAAAAAGTTAAACAGATTATTTATTTGCAAATTATAAACATCTAACTAAAAACATTTTCATTGAAACACATTTTTGCCACAAGACTTACAAATAAATGACATTTTTACTTGTTTATTGCAAACAATAGAGTAATTCATATAAAGGTAATGGCCTTTATTATTTAATCTCTTTTACTAATAACTTGTGATAAAACATTTCAAGAATATTTTTCACCTAATTACAAAAAAATTACTATTATTAATAAATAACCCTAAATCTCTAAAACATAAAGCAGAACTCATGATTTATTGCATTTACTTTGTTACTTATTCATTGATTTGCCTCAGTTATTTAAATTGAAATTTCTGGTATTAGAGTAACCACATTACACATAAAATAATATGTATCTTGGGGTTTTTCTATCACCTGATAGATAAACCTATCCATCAGTAATTTTATGATACAGAAAGCATGAAAACGTTAGTGTTTTTTGGCTGAGCTCAGTGGCTCACGCTTGTAATCTCAGCACCTTGGGAGCCTGAGTCAGGCAGGTCACCTAAGGTCTGGAGTTTAAGAGCAACCCGACAAACGTAGTGAAGCCCCATCTTTCCTAAAAATACAAAATTAGCAAAAGTGGGCAAAGGATATGAACAGATACTTTACGAAAGAAGACATATATGAGGCCAACAATTATATGAAAAAATGCTCATCGTCACTGGTCATCAGAGAGATGCAAATCAAAACCACATTGAGATACCATCTCACGCCAGTTAGAATGGCGATCATTAAAAAATCTGGAGACAACAGATGCTGGAGAGGATGTGGAGAAAAAGGAACACTTTTACACTGTTGGTGGGAGTGTAAATTAGTTCAACCATTGTGGAAGACAGTGTGGCGATTCCTCAAGGCCTTAGAAATAGAAATTCCATTTGACCCAGCAATCCCATTACTGGGTATATATCCAAAAGACTATAAATCGTTCTACTATAAGGACACATGTACACGAATGTTCATTGCAGCACTGTTTACAATAGCAAAGACCTGGAATCAACCCAAATGCCCATTGATAATAGACTGGATTGGAAAAATATGGCACATATACACCATGGAATATTATGCAGCAATCAGAAATGATGAGTTCGTGTCGTTTGTAGGGACATGGATGAATCTGGAAAACATCATCCTCAGCAAACTGACACAAGAACAGAAAATGAAACACCGCATATTCTCACTCATAGGTGGGTGATGAAAAATGAGAACACATGGACACAGAAAGGGGAGTACTAAACACTGGGGTCTATTGGGGGGAAAAGGGGAGGGCCAGTGGGAGGGGGAGGTGGAGAGGGATAGCCTGGGGAGCAATGCCAAATGTGGGTGAAGGGGAGAAGAAAAGCAAAGCACACTGCCATGTGTGTACCTACGCAACTGTCTTGCATGCTCTGCTCATGTACCCCAAAACCTATAATCCAATAAAAAATTAAAAAAAAAAAATACAAAATTAGCCAGATACTGTGGTGCAAGTCTCTAATCGCAGCTATTTCGGAGGCTGAGGCAGGAGAATCCCTTGAACCTGGGAGCCAGAGGTTGCAGTGAGCTGAGATTGTGCCACTGCACTCCACCAGTGAAACTCCATTTCAAATAAAATAAAATAAAAGAAAAAGAAAACATTAGTGGTTAGTGTTTTTTATGCCTGTAAATTGTATTGAAAGTACTGAATCAAAACATGCTTATAAAAGAGTGGTTTCCTTTTACTAACCTTGATACACTGAAAGATGGATATATAGACATAGATATATAAATATATATGTAACGGTTTTTAAAAAAATATTTCCCAATGACAAAATAGTGAAAATATGAAATAGTAAAATCTTTCTTTTCGGCCATATCAAAAGTGAATGAAAACAAATAGTATAAATCAGTAAGATAGTAAAGCGTTACTGTTATACAGTATTTTTTATTATGTGGAATAACATAACTATTTCAAATGATGGAAAGGTAAATGAAAAGTTAGTGAGAAATGTTTACTTGTGGGAATAAAGTAAATTTTTAAAAGCTAAACTTGTGAAACAATATATACATTTGCAAAAAGGAGAACATATGCTATTTTCTTAAAATTTGAACTTCATATTTAAGTTAAAGGTAAAATAATAAGTAGGAGAGTAGATGCCAGTATCTAGACAAGGCAATAAAAAGTTTTTTAGGAATTTCTATGAGGAGAGAAGCTGGAATTTGTCTTCATATTTCACATTATTTACTTTGCACAATGATTGCTGATTTCAACTTACAGGAATTGAGATTCTCAACTCACCTTCAGATCCTAAAAGGGTCATCGTTTCTCTCAATGGTTTCTTTATGAGAAATTATCATTACACAAATACATATTTTTATAATTAGTTTTCAAAATATTTTAGGAAGCAACAGTCTAGACTAAGCTATCATATTAGATTATACATTAACATATTACCTTTCACTCAAGATGAGACTCCAGAAGTAGTGAAGTTGAAGTGAAGCCTCAGGAGATGATCTGCTTCCCTAGAGGACCAATGTATTTAAACACACTGAAATGCCACATTTGTTTTTGTTAAATAATGAAAACTAAAAGCAATGCCCAAAATCTGTCTCTACAAATGATAAAAATAACCTTAACAAAGTAATTTTGCAATAGATGATTGTGAAGCCAAGCAACTAGGAAACAATTGGACCCACTGTATGTTAATTCCAGTGTTAGTCTAGGCATGAATGAGTCAGACAATGAAAAAGCATGCTGGAGGAAGCCAAGCACAGAAATAATAGCAGTGATAAAGATGTTTCTGTGATACACCATCTGCTCTGTTTCCACAAGTATGTGTCCAAGGTGGAACAACTCTAGGACAGAAAGAATACTTACCATGTTATCAAGATTTTGCATGTTCTCTAACAAATCATGGTAACTGGCACAATAAAATTATAGTCATTATATACATCAGGAGTTTTTCTTCAAATTGTTATCTTATACTTTTACCATCTTCCATTGACTGTAGAATATTTTAAGTTACAAAATGAATGTAATCAGTTGCAAAATTTAGTTATCTTTGGGTACTACATGATAAAAATTTATTATATTTGTGGTGAAATGACTCTAAGTGCTCAGTGACATATGTGTCACATATGACTGAATATATATATTTGGAAATTTGATTTAATTTCCTGGAGTTTTTAAGGATATATAATTATCCATAGCAGTCGTGTTGACATGATTACACTAAGGTGAAAAAAAAATGAAAAAAAAATTTTCATTACATTCCTATGAAAATTTGTGTAAAAATTACCCTACTCACTACTGGTTGGATAATTCAATGTACTAAGAACTGAGTATCAAAAACTTAAGTATAATATTGAAGTAAGTTATACAGCCTAGTGCATTGTTCCTCAGAGTGTGCCACATGAAACCATCTCAATCAGCATCAGCTGGAGTCTGTGGAAATGCAAATTCTTAGTACCCCTCTCCAAAGTTGCTGAGTCAGAATCTTGGGATTGCCCTAAAGGAGCTTGGATTTTAACATTATCTCCAGGTGATTCTTTGCGTATTGTAAAGTTTGAAACAAAGCTGCTCTCGGTGGCTTGTGCCTGTAATCCTAGCACTTTGGGAGGCTGAGGCAGAAGGATTGCTTGAGTACAGAATTCAAGAACAGCCTACATAACATAGCGAGAACCCCATCTCTACAAAACATAAAAACTAAGGAAAAAGAGAGATAATCACATAATTGTCTCGTAAATTCATAGTTATCCTTAGGCTTTATTCCATAAAAAGAACTTTTGGTTTAATATTTTGTATCAGGTTTTCTATTTATTTATTTATTTTTAAAATTTATTCTTTTATTATTATTTTTTTAATGGCAGGGTTTTACCATGTTGGTCAGGCTGGTCTTGAACTCCTGTCCTCAGGTGATCCACCTGCCTTGGCCTCCAAAGTGCTTGGATTACAGGCCCGGCCCTGTATCAGACTTTTTAAGGAAATAATTATTAGGTAAATTTTTTTATGCTACATTGAAACAGTTTTACAGTAAATTATGGTTATTCTCTAAGTAATGTATAAAAACTATAAATCATTTCTTAAGGCAAATAAATAATTCAGATCAAATTAGATATACGTAATTCTCATTTTCTTGTCATGAGATTTCTTTTTTTTTCTTTTTGAGACAGAGTCTCTCTCTGTCACCAGTCTGGAGTGCAGTGGTGCCATCTTGGCTCACCACAACCTCCACTTCCCAGGTTCAAGGGATCTCCTGTCTCAGCCTCCTGAATAGCTGGAATTACAGGTGTCTGTCACCACGCCTGGCTAATTTCTGTATTTTTTTAGTAGAGACAGGGTTTCACCATGTTGGCCAGGCTGGTCTTGAACTCCTGACCTTGTGATGCATCTGCCTCGACCTCCCAAAGTGCTAGCATCATAGACACAAAGTCTCTTCTCACGTGTTAAACAAATACAGTCTCTTTACATTCTGAGTAGGAAAATGTGACATAGGGTTCAGTAACTATTTTATTTTTCCAGAGACAGGGTCTTGCTGCATAGCACTGTCTTGAGTACACTGGTGAGATCGTAGTTCACTGATGCCTGGAACTCCTGGGCTCAAGTGGTCCTACAACCTCAGCCTCATGTTTAGCTAGGACTACAGACATGTGTTACCACTCTTGGTTAATTTAATTTATTATTATTATTATTATTTGGTAGAGACTTTGTCTTGCTATGGTGCCCATGTAAGTCTTGAACTTTTGACCTAAAAAATCCTTCTTCCAAAAAAAAGCACTTTCAAATAGTGCTGCGATTTCAGTCATGAGCCACTGTGCCTGTACCATGGTTCAGTAACTCCTGAACAATATCTGATTTTTAAAATAAACTCTGCTTCAATTACTTGGGAAAAGTCAAATGATTTCCTTCTTTTCTTCTTTCTTTCTTTTTTTTCTCTTCTCCTTTCTTCCCTCTGATTTTCTTCCCTACTTCATTTATCCAACAATATTGGGCACAGCTCTAGTAGATCTAAGATATTCATGTTCTAGTGAACATAAAGCAAATTAAAAGCCCAAAGACACTACCAAACAGCAAACTACAAGGTAAGAAATATTGATACATCTTTAATATACACACTTTAAAATTACAATTAAACTTATATCATCTATATTTTAAGTTGGAATATCAACATGTAGGCATTATTATACCCATCATTTTCTGCTTCTCCAAGTTAGGAAGTATGGGGATTATGTATGGCAGGTCAAACAAGCACAGAAGTGACCTTCTGATGTAAGTTATGGTCTCACCCTCCAGGAAAAGTAGACCATTTTAGGAGATTGATAAACCAGAACATGACTTCATATTTTATAATTAAAGAAAATACATCTTATCCTCTATACCAAACAGTATTCTCTTTGAAAATGTCATGACCTTTTATTAAAAAGGAAACATCAACAAAGAACTACTGCTTTATCACAGGAGTGGCAATCCAATTTTTGCTTAAGGGCGCAACCTGGGAATGGGTATTTGTAGTGATGTGTATTGGGGCTCTCCTCAATCCTGCTGCTCCACCTTTACTCCATCTCCTTCTCCCCTTCCTCTTCTTCCTCCTTCTCTTCCTGCTGCTCCAGTTGCTGCTCCCCCTTCTCCCTATTCTGCAATTCTCCTATAATGGAAACATGAAACCATTTATGACCAATATGATATTTATTAATTTAACTGAAAATCCACATAATGCTCAAGGTCAGTAGTTTGAGACCAGTCTGGTTAACATAGCGGAGGAACGATCCAAGATGGCCGATTGCTAACATCCCGGGATTGCAGCTCTCAGAGAAGGCGTGGAGAACTAGAGGACGCCACACTTTCAGACAAATTCTGGTCGCTCACGGAGCAGAAGATCCCCCAGTGGTGGAAACACATGAGTCGCCAGCGCGACTCTCATGGTGGGCGCAGCGGCTCCGCCGGCACCTCGACGCGGCAGCGCTTGGCACAGAGTAAACAGGACCGGTTCCCCTTCTGACCAAGGTTTGGAGCCCCGGGAAGGCAGAGTCGCCTACTACGGACACAAGAAGGAAACCAGACAGGAGAATCCTGGGCAGAAAAGCACCATCAGTTTTAACGCCGCTGCTCTGGCCCTGGGAACTAACAACCTGGACGTCCACTCAAGAGACCTAATCTGAAAGTTGGTAATTTCAAAGACTACAGGAGGATAAATTTACAATGACAGGAAGAAACCAGCGTAAAAAAGCTGAGACTACTCAAAGTCAGAACGCCTCTCCCTCTAAAGATGATCACAGTTCCACATCAACAATGGAACAAGGCTTGATGGAGAATGAGCGCCTCCTGATGACAGAATCACTCTTCAAGGAATGGATAATAACAAACTTCGGTGAGTTAAAAGAACATGTTGTAGCCCAACGTAAAGAAACTAGGAACTTTGAAAAAAGGTTTGATGAAATCCTATTGAGAATAGACAACTTAGAGAGGAGTATGAGTGAATTAATGGAACTGAAGAATACAATACAGGAACTCCGAGAAGTATGCACAGGTTTAAACACTCGAATTGTTCAAGCAGAAGAAGGGATATCGGAGGTCAAAGTCCAACTTAATGAAATAAAACGTGAAGAAAAGATTAGAGAAAAAAGGATAAAAAGGAATGAGCAAAGTCTCCAAGAAATGTGGGACTATGTGAAAAGACCAAATTTACGTTTGATAGGTGTACCTGAATGCGACGGAGAGAATGAATCCAAGCTGGAAAATACCCTTCAGGATATTATTCAGGAATTCCTAAACTAGCAAAGCAGGTCAACATTCAACCCCAGGTAATACAGAGAACACCACAAAGATATTCCTCAAGAAGAGCAACCCCAAGGCACATAATCGTTAGATTCACCAGGGTTGAAATGAAGGAGAGGATACTAAGGGCAGCCAGAGAGAAAGGTCAGATTACCCACAAAGGCAAGCCTATCAGACTTACAGCAGATCTCTCGGCAGAAACTCTACAGGCCAGAAGAGAGTGGGGGCCAATATTCAACATCCTCAAAGAACAGAACCTTCAGCCCAGAATTTCATATCCAGCCAAACTAAGCTTCACAACTGAAGGAAAAATAAAATCTTTTATGAACAAGCAAGAACTCAGAGATTTTATTACCACCAGGCCTGCTTTACAAGAGCTTCTGAAAGAAGCATTACACACAGAAAGAAACAACCAGTATTAGCCTTTCTAAAGATACACCAAAAAGTAAAGAGCACCAACATAAAGAAGAATTTACACCAACAAATGGATAAAACAGCCAGTCAACATCAAATGGCAGTAACCCTAAATTTAAATTGACTGAATTCCCAATCAAAAGACACAGCCAAAACCCAACGGCATGTTACATCCAGACCTGTTTCACATGCAAGGATACACAAAGACTCAAAACAAAGGGATGGAGAAAGATTTACCAACCAAATGGAGAGCAAAAATAAATAATAAATAAATAAAAAGCAGGAGTTGCAATTCTTGTATCGGATAAAATAGATTTTAAAGCAACAAAGATATAGTGGTAAAAGGATCAAT